CGTCAAGTGAAGATGACTCAGAAACCGAAGGCCTCTCGACCGACGAAGAATATGCGGATGTAATAACCGCCTCCCCAGATTTCTCACGTAATCTCACAGATAAAAGAATCTGGGAAAGGTTGTCAGATTTCCACAATGGTGAAAATGCCGTAAGCCAGTGCTTTACCTATTGTGTTACAATACCATTTAATGAACTTGTCCAGTTGAGGCGCTTGTTGACCACAGTCGAGAAAAGATTCCACAAAAGAGCATTTTACAGCCGAGTGAAGGAGAGCTATGGGAAATTACCAGATGTAAACATTCCCGATAGTTTGCCATTTGACGTTAAGTATGCCGCTGGAAGTGTCCTCAGTTGTCATCCTTTGGTTCGCGGAAGAGTGCCATCTGGAAAATTTGGTAGACTTTTGCTTGGAAAGTCTTCCGATATAGCTATTGCCGCTTTGGAAAAATTGAGTAAAGTGTTGGAAAAAGACAAGTTCTGTGACCCAGGCAGTATTCTGGAGTCGTTACTGAAACAAAACAACCCATCGACCTCCGGAATGTTTAACAGGTTGGTTCCAGGCCATTGCGCTTTGATAAAGCGCGCGGTCATCACCCCAACGAGGCTGCTCTTCTACCCTCCGGAAGTCATGGTGAAGAATCGCGTGCTCAGAAATTATGATACAAACGACTTCCTCTGTGTCAGTATTCGTGACGAAGACCTGTCAAAAATGTCTGCAGTAAGAGGGAACATCGACGATCTATTAGATGGAATGAAACTCAAACTAGATGAAGGAATTGAGATAGCTGGTCAGCGGTTTCAGTTCTTGGGTTCCTCGAACAGTCAGCTTCGTAACCATAGTTGTTGGTTTGTAGGGCTCAGTTCTCTACCGGACGACATACGTCGCTGGATGGGAAAATTCACCAATATCAAGTGAGTGAGCACTATTCCTTTATTCAATTTTAAAACAAGTTAACGTTTTCAGTCAAAATAAAAAAAAAATTCTCCTATAAAGCGATATAATTCCTTCAAACAGCCTAACTATTGATTAGAGGTGAACAGGAACGCAAAGCATTTGAATAGAGTACGAGATTAACAAATGTTGGCTACTTATTCACTTTGTTACGGGGAAGTTATCAGAGTCTAGAAGTGATGTTGTCACACATTCACCTGTGAGATTCACCTTTATTAAATGGTTATATGCACTTTATTTAGGAAAACTGCAAATTACTAGGTATGATGGGAGCAAAGTATTCTGGGAC